GCAGGGCGAAGCAAGGTCGTGTCTGCTCTCTAGACCTTCTCACCGGGACAGGATGACCTGTTGTAACATGGATCAGTGTCAGCACCCGTCCACTATTGGCGCGGCTTTGCCTCGCTGAAGCATGACGCGGTTCAGCTTCGCTAGAAAGTATTCCCCTGGGGCACATAACGCCTTTTTCACACAGGCACATCACTGGTTGGGGATTTTAGTCGACTCCATACGACCCCCCCCCCTTTACAACGTCCATGAAGCGAGAAAAATCAACTATCAAAATAAATTTTTCCCAGCCCAAATACGACCCCCCTCTCCCCCCAACAGGATTCCCCAACAACGATGTGCCCTGTTTTCACAACAACAGATAAGAATATAGGGGAACGGTAGGATGTTCATCGTTCACCAGTACATAAAGGACCGCAGTGAAAAGCCATGAAAGAAACAAGGTGCTTGGTGAGGTACTCCGACCGCTTATACCGGGGAGCGGGAGAGGGGGGAGCATAAAGAAAGACATTTTTCATTGGGGTCCACAATAAAGTTCACTTCGCGCATGAAAAATCCGTGGTAAAATATTCCTGACCTGTCCCAAGCGGGGACTAGCGCTCCACCTTAGTTTTGAGGGTTACGACAAGGTGATGCCATCTGTCATCGCAACTGTCTTTCCTACCACAAACTGTCCTGTGATACAGCTCACACCATCGTATAGTAATCCACAACAAGGGAGATGGATGGGGGTCGTATATGAGCCGTTCGGAGGGGTAGGGAGGAGAAGGGTTGCATTTACATCAATGACCTGTCGAGAGAGACCCTGTAACAATGCTGTCTTGGAAGGAATGGAATATTTTACAGCCCTCCCGTCCGTCAACGAGATTTTCTAAGAAACTGCAGAAAAGATATGGATTAGGGACAGGGCACGTCGAACGATCCCCAACGTGGGGGTCTTATTTGGTCACGGGACGTATGAGGTTGTGTTTGCCTCTAATTATAAGGAGAATCGGGTTCTCGATTGTTGGCTTTTCTTTGTTTCTCTTTCGGGTGCGCTGTGTATTCCCCCTCCCCTCCCCAAAAAAACTGGCACTTTTTACCAGGGGGAAGGGGTGGGAAGTGGAGTAAACTTCGGGGGGAAAACTCTGCAAAAATGGTAGGAAGTTGGGCAAAAATGTTAGAAAGTTATAGGTAGGGTGAAGGATAGGGAAGGGGTATGTGACAAGAAAATCGTAATATGCAGTGCTCGTGGGCCTTGCTACACTGCTTGTCCCACGGACGAGTTGCTCCACTCAGCACTACGCGAGGACGGGGACATTTGATATCGTCCGTCGTGAAGCCTTGTCTCCATTTGAATTCACACGAGCATCGTTGCCCCACCAATAAACTAACAAGCACCGGCAATTCGCCGCGCGATGTGGCGTGCGCGGAGATGTGACCAATT